GTGATCATGAAATAATGTGATTATTTTATGGTGTTACTGCAAAATTTGGTTTTAAAGAGCAAATAGGATACAGAGGAGGTTCAGGGCTGGGTGGAGAATGGCTGGAGAGCAGTCCTGAGGAGAAGGACTTGGGGGTGTCGGTTGATGAAAAACTCAACATGAGCCAGCAATGTGCACTCACAGCCCAGAAGCCCACCCTCATGCTGGGCTGCATCAAAAGAAGTGTGGCCAGCAGGGCAAGGGAGGTGATTCTGCCCCTCTATTCTGCTCTCGTGAGACCTCACGTGGAGTACTGCATCCAGTTCTGGGGCCACCAACATAAGAAGGACATGGAACTGTTGGAGCCGGTCCAGAGGAGGGCCACAAAGCTGATCAGAGGGCTGGAGCATCTCCCCTGTAAGGACTGGCTGAGAGAGCTGGGGCTGTTCAGCCTGGAGAAGAGAAGGCTCTGGGGAGACCTTGTTGCAGCCTTCCATTTCCTGAAGGGGTCCTATAAGAAAGCTGGGCAGGGACTTTTTACAAGGGCAGGTGGTGACAGAACGAAGGGTAATGGCTTTAATCTGGAAGAGGGTAGATTTAGACTAGATATTATGAAGAAATTCTTTATGGTAACGGTGGTGAGACACTGACACAGGTTGCCCAGGGAATTTGTGGATGCCCCCTCCCTGGAAGTGTTCAAGGCCAGGTTGGACAGGGCTTTGGGCAACTTGGTGTAGTGGGAGGTGTCCCTGCCCATGGCAGGGGGGTTGGACTGGGTGATCTTTAAGGTCCTTTCCAACCCAAAGCATTCCGTGATTCTGTGTTGAACTGTTTGAAGGGCAAATTGAAGTTATATTGTAATATACTCTTGGGGAAGCCATAGTCAGGTTATGGCAGTCTTACTGGATGTGTACAGGATAACAGAGATTTGCCTAGCTCTTTAAAACTCTGCAGTTGTATGTGGTCATTCTAAATCAACTCCTGAGGTAGAACCCAAATGAGGAATAAATGGTTGTATCTCAAAAGATACTTACTACTTTAAAAAGAGGTAGATTTGAATGCTGCATGTTTAAATCAATCATAGATTTGTCCATTGTAGAGGTTGTGATCCATTAAATAACCAGTGAAACAGTTAAAGCCTATGTTTAAAGTAAGTGAAACAAAAATGGTATTACCCTTGTTCTAGGTTTGTTAAAGTGGAGAGGTGTTTTGAAGAAGCTTGTAGCACCACCATCCCTGTCACTCTATTCCAGATTTCGTTTTAATACTGTCATAAGGCTGCCTCCAATGCAGTCATAATCCTTATAGAAACTCCTCTGTGGAGGCAATGTTTGGGAAACTTGAGAAATGGAAGTACTGCAAATTGAAGCATTATATGCGGGTTTTTTTATGTAGTGCAATCCAAAGGTGCATATAATATGAGATTGGGGACTGGATAACATGGAAACTGTGATTTTGAAAACTGATTCCCTAAAGACCGAGTCCTCACAGTGCTTTTTACTTTGTTGAGAACATTGACCAATATCTGGAATTTGGATTTTCTTATTAGGAATGTGGATTTCTTTGTGTTTTCTACTGGAATACCAATGTTCTCATTTAACTCTGAAACCTGCCTAATGCAATTACTTTGATGTGTTTCCTTACTAACATTACAGCTGATTTAGAGTTGTAATAGTCCCATTTGCCTTGCAGATTACTGAACTGGAAAATGAAGATGGCACAGCGTTTGCTTTTCCATGTTGTCAAATACCACAGTAATACTGTGATATTTGGAATTAAATAGTACCAACAGTGTTAGATTTTTACATTTTGTGTAACAGTGACTTTTATGTACAAACACTCTTCCCTCTTGAAATGTTTTTTTTTTTTTAGTGTCACTTAAGTTTATCAAACTCAAGGAACAGCACTAGAGTGAGTATTTATATTAGTATGATATATCAGTGCTGCAAGATGTCTGCTTCCAAAGTTGCTTGTTAAAACTGAAAGCTTGGTTAGTGTTATTTACTGTAATGCTTTAGATGTGGTATTTTGTATTTGCAGATGAATTGATTACTGTCTTTTAATAAAAACTAGTTGTTCTGTATAGCAGATCATATATATCATAGAATCATAGAATGGGTTGGAAGGGACCTTAAAGTAGCATTTAAAATACAAAATTCTCTTTAATCAGATTTGATTTATTAAAGTTCACCAATAAAATGTAAGACTTCAGATGAAACGAAATCAGAATTTGCTTTTAATTGGAAGCAAAGACTTTTGCATACTGATGAGAGCTTCCTGAATGCAGCATTTCTGCTTCTGTACGAAGTTCTGACAACCAGGTTTTTATATACTAAGCCAAAAACTTTCTCACAGAAAAGTTAATTAAAAAAAAAAAAAGTTTGGAAGAATCAAGAAGTGCCAGCTGTGAAACTGGGGGGAAAAAATCCTCAGGGTTTCTGCTGAAGCGCCCTCAGCATGCAGAATACTTGTGGTCGAGAGAGACCATGGGGCTTGGGATTGTTGAAATACCAAACTTGGAGCTGATCCAGAAGAGGACAAGCTGGGAGCGTCCCAGCAGGGCCGCTCCAGTGCTCTGGAGCGGGGGAGTTTCCACCAGCCCCCTGCAGACGTACCCATACCCTCCCAGTTTGTACTCCCTGCTGCAGAACCGGGAGTTGGGCTTTGAGTGTTTTTAAGCTGTCAGCTTCAGAGCAGCAAAACTGAAATATTTTCATGACTGGAAGCACACAGCTTGGAAACACAGGAGTGCTGGAGTGGAAATATTGCTTGTGTTTGAGCTGCTTTCATGCTTGTATTTTGGTGGTTGCTGGATGCTCAACAGTTTCCATCAGTAGAGATTGGATTTATGGAGTGTGGCTCAAATTTAGGAGAAATTTGGACCATCAGTGTTGCAGGAAAATATATTTGGGGTTCAGTGATTATCACTTTTCTAGACAAACAGTTCCCTTGCCTCCAATGTTTTACTGGGAGATTTCTTACTGGTTATGTCAAATTGGCTACTTGCATGACTTCTGTCACTGACATGTAAAAAGAAAAAAAGAACAAAACAATCCAGCAAACAAAAACCCCACAAACAAGACCAAACCAAGCAAACCAACACCACAACAAATGTGAGGATGACTTTGATGATAATGAGTTTTGCCCTTTAAGTGGAGAATGCAGTTTGGTTGTGTTCCTGAGTGTCTGTGCAGAAGGACATACTCGTGGCCTATCTTCTTTTCTCCAGTTCTACAATGACATTGCAGGCAGTGTAATATCATAGTCGGTTTTCTGTGTTCCTTAGTCTGTATGTTATAGGCTTTTCAGCATTATTAAAAGGCTTAAACGTGCTTGCAAAATATTAGCTAGCTATAGTAGCTCCGCTCCTCCAGACTGGAGGAATGAAAACTGATTTTCATTGCTGGCTGGTCCTTGCTGCCTTTGGGCTGGGGAAGCAAGTTTAATGTGTAGTACTTTTTCCCTTGTGTTTCCTCTTTTCTATTTTCTTTTTTTTATTATTTTTTTATTATTTTTCCACCTAGATGGCAGATCCACAGTGCCAGGGGCTGTCTCTTTTTTGTCATAAGTGTGTAATCTACAGCTGAGACAGATTGCCAAGTAATTGTTACTGTGAGGCATTTAGGTTGTGCTAATGATAAATAAGTGGGATTGATTCCTTATTTAGGGTGCATCAGCATCATGTTTGCATTGCTCAGTTTTGAATTACTTGTGTGTAATTCAAAACATTATGTTAGAGAACATTGATACAATGGTGACTGTAACTTTTTATTTTGTGAGGAGGTAATAAATGGATTGGAGCAGGGGTTGGTTTGTGTGATGTTGTTGACTTGAGGAGGTTGACTGTTTTTAAGTTCTGAAATTCCTTTATGTTTTAGAAGTGACTTCTTGGTTCTCAGCTCTAGTTTTGCTATCAAATCTCTCCTGCCATCAACTTCTTGTTTGCTAGCTCTCATATAGAGATTCACTGAATAAGTTTGTGGTGGCAAAGGAGAGAAATGCTTTTCACAAATGTCAATTAAAGTATGCGTTAATTTTACCATAGTTGTGGCACAACAATTGAATTAATAGAAATGTCTTGCAACTTAAAATTTCTTGCTGCTTATAACCTTGATCCCTCACCGCCAGTGTATTTGAAACTCTGCTAAAAAGATCTCGACATCTAAGCAGAGCTTAGGCCAGAGCCATGGTGCTAACTGATGATCTGTCTCTCTTTGGATTCCTCAGCAGCCTTGCCTCAGGGAGCAAAGGAGTTGATTCACGTTCATTTCTGTCACTCACTGGGACCTGAAAGTGATCTTACTTTTCTGATTAAGCTATAAACCGGTGCAGGGAAATTGATGCTGATTCTGAAAAAGCTAAGAAGTATTTCGTGTTGGTGTTTCAAAAGTGAATCTTGATCAGTATATATTGTGCTTGGCTAAGTAAGTTCTTACCTTCTTCTTCTTACCTTAGATCAGCCTGAACTAATCACAAGTGCTGGGTTTTACTTCCATTCTCCAGAGCGTTATGCAAAATAAATTGCATCTCTGCCTTCTCTTTGCTTATCTACAGGGCACAAAACAGTTTATTGGATTTCAGTATTTTTGCTCCTACTCACTTCAGCTTTTCCATTTTCTGTTTAAAAAATAACTGCTTAAACTAACCTTAAACTTTCCAAAGAAAATGTTTCTCACTGATCGTTGCATACGAAGGTGACACACCATTTTTAACTGTGTACGACAGCATCAAGTTCCTGTCTCTGGAGACAACTGAACGATGATTTCTAACTGATGGCTTAATCTAGAGCTGTGATAAACATCTGGCAAGCTGTGTATGACTATGTAGGTATTAAGAGGTCCTTAGGGAGAAGCATGCTTGTCTTAGTAAATGCAGCTAACGTCTTTAGACTAATTATGTTTTCTAAAATATAAAATGTACAAAATTTGGAAAATGCACTTTTATGCAGTGTTTTTCATACAGAATGCTAAAACATACTTTTTTATTTTAAATAAAACCTTTTTTCCCCCCTCTTACCACAGGATAATGAGAAAAGGACCCCTTTACATGCTGCTGCCTATCTGGGAGATGCAGAAATTATTGAACTACTTATTTTATCTGGTATGTTCTGTTCCTGTTAATGGAAAAAAAATAACTATGCACATCCAAGGAAATATTTTATGTTCCTTTTAGTCTGTGTAGCATTTATTGAGATATTTAATGTACTAGAAATCAAAGATGTGTTTACTGAAATTTTGGGTTCTAGACATATCAGTGTTATACTACTGTGTAGTTCTGCTCTAAAATACTTATTTGTGAATAGTTTTCTCAGTTACAGCTATTTTTATTAGTAGCTTCATCAGCTTTAGGTAGTTTAAGTCTAAAGAAGTAATACTGTCTATGTTATAGGTAGGTGTTAGCAGTGTTGCTTTGGTTCTGAAATGGCCTTCAGAAAAAAACAACTGATGTTGAATGTAGAAGATGGCATCCAGAGTTGGTAATACTATTTTTAAGTATCCTTTGCCTTTGGCTTAAATGCACAGGATATAATTATGGTCATCTGAAAATTTTAAAATCTCTTTTTTTCTATTTATTTGTAGTAACACAAAGTGCAAGTTCTGTAAAACAGTATACTTCTGTCTTTAAAAAAAAAAAAAAAAAGGTAGAAGAACCAAGAAACTAAACCAAAAACTGGGAAGTAAAACTTCATGGCTGAGATACTGAACTGATTGTCTTTGATCTTGGATAAATCTGCCCATCAGGTAGCTTGAGCCTGAATTCGTTATATGGATGTTTAAGATTTAGAAAGATTGAAACTTATAACAGTCCCATAGAACTACTTTAATCTTCAGTCTGCTTAATGGCACACCTTACCTGTGCAAAGCTGACCATTTCTACCACACCACCACCCTCCCCATCAACCTTTAATAACAAGTTTTACTTTAAGGAAGTGTCACTTTTAAGACTGTAGAAGTCACTTTCAGACTTTCAATTGAAATTACCAGGCACAACTTTTTAACTGTTTATAATTTAGCAAGATATAATCTTGTCGTTACATATACGATATGTGCTCTCTCTATATAATTGTATATACTTACACTTAATATCACATTATGTGTGTATATATAGAGAGATATACATATATATAATAGATATACATATACATAGAGATATATATAATAGAATCATTGGATGGTCTGGATTGGAAGGAACCTTAAATCTCATCCAGTCCAACCCCCCTGCCATGGGCAGGGACACCTCCCACTAGACCAGGTTGCCCAAAGCCCTGTCCAACCTGGCCTTGAACACTTACAAGGAGAGGGCATATTCTCATAGTAATATTCTGTAGTGATAATTTGTCCAGAAAAATTCACCTGTGTTGCTGAGAAGATGTTATTTTTTCCCTATCAAGACCCCAAGTTCCGGTGACTTGAAGTGATATAATGACCCCTTTCTTCTGGAAAGAGATCTTGGATTTGGCAAGGATATTTCTTTTTGTTTGAGTTTTCAGAGAGATTAAAACAAAACAAAACAAGCCCACACCCCCAAACAACTAACAGTGTTAGAAACTTTACGGAGTGGTAGTTGGCTACTTTTGGGAGTGGAGTTTCTGACTGTCTTGGGTGAATGGAATCCAGTTACCAGAACTGTGATTGAAGGAAGTCTCTCTCTTTCTCTCAGGCAAGTGACTTATGGAGGGAGCAAGATTCTAGTTCAGATATTAATGAAACAAGAACCTGATTGAGAGATGGCAGTAGGGGAAGAAAGGCTGGTCATGCTATTTGGGCAGATAGCCTGGGGTTAAGTGTAAGAAAAGTTGGAGAGCAGAGGAAGAAAGTGAAGAACTAAGAGTTAGGGCTGTAGGAATAGTCCAAAGTTGGGCCATTGCATGGAGGAGAGGTTGTGGGGTGCTGCTGTGTGTGCAGATTGCTCAGGAAGACTGGGAGACATTGATACGCCTCAGATGAAATTTAGTTAATGAAAATCACGATTTACTTACACAAACCAACTTACTAAATAGTTGCTGAATAAAAAGCTTTGGAAGCTGTGGAGTGTATAGGCGATGTCAGTCTAACCTCACTATGCTCATGTGCTGTGCTGTAGAAGCAGAACCTCATGAATTTCACAGAGAGGAGCTGTGCTGGGAATGAATCAGGTGGTACAGTGAAGGAGGCACAAATGCCAGTTGTTGTTGCATTTGTGAATTAATGAGGAGGGACGTTAGCTGCAGGATGAGAAAGTGATATCTACATGTTAAAGCTGTTCAGTTTGAAAGCCTGGCACTAACTTAGGCACTAATCTGTGTGTTACCTGCTTGTAAGCTGTGGTTTTAGGCTAGCGGCTTAAACCAGACTCTTCAAAAAGTAGTCACCAATTGGGTCTTCCTCCTTTCTGAATGCTGGTTTTGAAATCTTCATGGTTTGGAGAGTGTGAGCACTCACAGCTGTATCTCAAGAGCTGCACCAGCTACTTCTCTGAGAAATCAGGTTGAGGTGTCTCAAAATGCACACGCCAAGATTTTTAATTTAACTCTCCTAATTGGAAGATGGGGAACAGAGGTTAAGTGTATTTATCCTCTCCATTTCATAAAAATATGGAAAATTCATCTATTGTGTTTCAGCTGGAGATCAAATCTCTCCTTTGAGACAGATGTATAATGTTACATTTTGTTGTAATAGATGAGCATTAGGGAGCAAATAAAGAACATCTGTTAACACAGCAAGGCTTGAAGAATGCTTGCTGTGTTGGGAGACCTCTATTTGAACAATGAGAAAGTAGTTTGTTGAATAAGTAACGTTTCTGAACAACAGTCTTGTCCGTGCAGTAAATTTGCATGTAAAAATTTTGTATATGGCTTTAATTGGCCTATCGTAATATATCTGCAGAAGGGAATTAATTAAATAGTGTAGACTACTTTTATCCTAGCATTATTCACCTTGTGAGAGCTTGATTTTACAACTTGTAATGTCCTCTAATGTAATGTAATTTTGCTGGAATGTTACTAGGAACCACTTCACAGTTTTCTTGCTATGCAAGCTATCCTACGAAGTCTGTTTGCTTTGGCTTTTTTATTCTCTCTTCAAACTGGACCTCAAAATTACTGAGAAATTGGAGGAAAAGGTGAAGGAGGAGGAGAAGGAGGAACTTAAGAAGGAAGATGAGGATAAGGAGGGGGGAAAAGAGGACAAGGATAAAAAGGAACAGGATGAGGATGAGAAAGAGGAGAGATGAGGAAGAGGAGGAATGAGAGTAGGTGGAGGAGAAATGGGAGGAGAAAAAATAGAAAAAGGAACAAGAATAGCAGAAGGAGGATGAAAAGGGAAAAAAAGGAGAATGAGGGGGACAAAGAAAGAAGTGGAGGAGGAATAAGAAAAAAGAATAGAAGAAGGAGGAAGAAGAACAGGTTGATAAGGAGAAAGAAAAAGAGGAATATGAGGTAGAAGAAAATGAGGAGGGTGAAGAACAGCAGGAGAAGTCAATATTTATGTTTCCACTACTCAGTGGCTCTTACCCAATTCTTTCTCATTTTTGTCTGTTTTTAGTTGAAGTGTGTCTCATATATTACCTGGACATAGTTTTGGGTTGTTTGTTTGTTTTTTATTGGAACCTCTTTTGCATCCCCCTCCAGGGGATCCACACTGCTTTCAAGTGTGTATTTTGGATCACATATTGCTGTTACAATATCTTTGTTACTTTGCTATAGACCTAAGTAACCTATATTGCACATTCTGAAGATATAACCACTTGAGCCTATTTGCAAACTTTTGTGGATTAAGTTTTCAGTCTTGCAAACGTACTTACTAGTTTTTGAATTCTTGAGATATTTTCCCACCAAATCTCAAGTCTGCTCTGTGATTCCTCCTCTTGTAGTCTTCCAAGGGATCTGAAGGTGACGCTTTGGACACAGCCTCGGAATAGTAAAGAAAATTGCTTCAGTGACTCCAGTTTGAGGCTGAACATGTAGATTCCAATTTGTTTTTTATCTTGAGACAGAGCTTCACTGAACTTATTAATAAACTGACAATATGTGAATGTCTTGCCAGAAAATTCTCATACCACTATCATCTGTGGAAGTCTAAATATTCAAATCATCTCTCCCCGTTAGACTGTAGCCAGATAAGCAATTAGCATTATGAAATTTTTTAAGTAAGGAGATAAACAGTAGATAAAAAGGACATCAAGATATTTATTTATAGTGTACAGAATGATGGAACAGAAGTATTTTAGTCACTCAAGAATCATAATTTTAGAAGTGTTTTCTTTTTTGTATTACTCTGTAAAGGCTTGTAACACCCATCACAGTTGTATTTTTATGATGTACGTACAACTGTGCGTCCTGATGTTGTCTTTGCATTATTGCACTGACTTTAATTGTGTAAATACTCCATGCCAAACTACTGAGAAGTAGAAAACTAAAATAATTAAGTCTTAATCAACTGAATGTTCAACTTCTGTTTTTCTTTCCAAGAAGTCCTGTTTAAAAACCAAGCTCTTCTTTCAGCTAAGTTCTGTGTGTGAACTGTTCTGGGGAAGCTTCTGGCTTGGTAAAACAAAAACAAACCCCCAAAACCGTTCTGTTTGTCTTACGCTTTTTTAATGCCATCAGAGCCTGTTCTGCAGGCAGGTAACGTGAAGAGCAGTGTGGTCCCAGAATGTATTCTTTTGATTAGCAACTTTTTTTTTTCCATGTGTTTTCTTTAAAATACCACAGACTGCTATTACTTTCACTGAAATCAACATAATTCATGAAAATCAACAGCTAAATTATCTGTTCTTTTCTTTTGAATAGATTTAGTTACTATATTGCATTGATACTTAAATGCTAACCCAACACACTTCTGTTTGTTTAACCCCAAATTTTCTCTGCATGCAGCTCAGCGTACATGAGTGTCTGGTCAAACTCAGTCTCATTAAGGTTTGGTAGACCATGAGTTTTTGTTGTGCTTTCCTCTGGGTCGGCTGGAAAATGTAAGAATCGTGCTGATGCTGGAAAACTATCATTACAGTAATAACAGATTTTTGGAAAATAGCAAAGACCCCCCAACGTTACTCCACTCTACTTGCGATTCTTGCATCTGATTCTGAAGCTATGCAAGTATCAAAAGTCCATCCAATGACAG